GCACAACCAAGATCCCCGAACAACAGAGGCCTCGCCTTGGATTGTATAGAAGTGAAATGCTATAATATCCCAATAAACCCTAAAACCCTAGATATTCCCTAGTTTCCATTTCATGTTCTATTTTTTCCATTTGATTCTCCATTATAGTACTCTAAGCCCTAAAACCCTAAATGATTGGCCTATAGTAGTTTCCATTTTCTTTTCCATTATCCCAATAACCCCAACCCCAAACCCTAGACCCTAAACCCTAAACCCATTATAGTAGTTTCCATTTCCTTTTCCATTATCCCCATTATACTGGTTTTGCTTTCCATCTCATACCTCACATTGTCATGACACCAGTCTTGGCGGCAACGGATGACGCTGTTTGTTGCAAGCCCTGTCGCGACGGAACTTGCACCCACGGGCGGCTGTAACAAACAGAGGTGAGCAGTGCAGGTAGATTTGCAGCCTTGGCCGCAGCATGCATGAGGTCCCTGTGTGGGAACTGCAAAGCTTGACATGGGCTTGGAAAGAGGACGAGAAAAATGCAACTAGATGGATAAAGTGCTGTCAGACAAAGGTGCAGCACAAAGAAAAGCTTTGGGAGGCTCGCACTCACAGCTGCAAGCGTGCCTCTTGGCTGAGCTTCTGCGACGACAAGTTGCTGAAAAACGCCTCAGCATGATGCACAGTTACTTTACCTGCACGACCTGCATCATCAGCACAGAGTCGCTACTCCCAGGTTGTTTCTAATTCGCATCTCCAGTCTTCCCAGCATGCGTTTCATCTTCAACTTGGTTTTGCACACTCCCCAACCCATCTGTGAATGTTGCTCATCTTGTTTCAGAAATCCTAGCAATTTTCGTCACATTCCTTGCACTTGCTTTGTGAGCCTGCAGATCTACTACGCTAAGCAACTTGATCAAGGGATGCAATTTGCAAGACATTCACGACAAAACTTGCAAATTAGTCCAGACATGTGCCGCAAACCTCTTGCTCTGATTGAAAAATCCTAAACCGCAAAGCCTGATCCCTAAACCATTAACCCTAAAGCGGCTAAGGGGGTGACCATTCTGACTAAACGTCAGCGTCAGCATCTGCGCACAGCCAAGCCTCTGAGGCCACGCTTAAAGTAAAAATACTTGTAGTATGAATTAGTACTTGTAGCTTCTGCATGCTTCGCAAAGGCTCAAGAAGTGAATCAGAGATTTAGTCCCCAGTTGCGGCCACCTTGTGCAGATCAAGAGAGCTAGAGCTCTGGGGATGAAGGAGCGATCGTTGCCTGCTCCTGGCGGTAGGGCAAAGATGCGGTTTCTTCACTCATTTCAAGTTCGTGCATCACCTCTCCGGGCACTAGCAGTTGGAAAGCCCCATTCTCCAGGCCTTGAAGCTAGCTAACTTCAAGCCCCTCGCTGTCTGTGATTACTTGCAAGTTGCCTAGACCATGACAGCACGACCAGGAAAACCGTTCTTCCGGGAGGGTTTGGGGTTGGAACATGTGTTTAGTTGAGTTGAGATTCCAATGTCTGTTTCAGTTCAGGATAGGGCAGCACGAAGTAGAACATGTGGGATAGGAAGCTTGAATTAAACTCGGGCAGGGCAAAGATTTAAGGTTGCAATTTGGGGGAGCTTTGAGGCGAACTTTGGAAAGGGGTCTGGATCTGGAACTCCGGAGGCAGCTTGAATCCAGGGTCGAGGCTTGGGTTGCAAACATTTGCGCAAGACCAGCGCGGATATTTGGACTCGGACTGTGAGTGCAGCACTGATTGTGCAAACCATTGCAGCATTGACCTCGTACATGGCCGCACGCGCAGTTGATGGCAGGGGCACGACCATGGCAGGAGGCGACTGTCTAGCCATGATTAGCACGCGGTAAAATCCTCCGTCTTGGCATCCTATGCAATGGCACACTGCTGCTTCTCCGGCCAATCAAAACTATTCATCCTCAACCACATGTCACTCAACGCAATGAAGGGTGTCGAGTGCAAGCGAAGCTTTCTACATACATAGAGACAACACTTCTGGCTGGTAAGGCTTCATTCTAGAAGTTGTTGAGCACACGCAAGGCTTGCGTACTAAACAATTGTTTACAACTTCCTCAAGTCCCCAGGAGGGGAGTCGGCCAAAACAAGCAATCTGTGGAATGCAAGCCAAAAGGCTTTGGAGCCAACGGTGAGCCACAGGAAAGGATCCGCAAATCATACAAATACAATATTGATTATGGTACCCATTACATTAATTATGGTAGTTTCCATTTTATTTTCCATGATCCCATTTATAACCCCAATATACCTCCTATAATCCCTATATAACCCCTATATAAGAAGCAGCTTTTGGAATTTCCACTGCTACCGCAACCTATACTTCCCTCCTCCTCCCCCTCCTCCTCTCACTCCTCCTCATACCCCCCTTCTAAGGAGTTTAGACCATGGCTGACTTGGTGTCGCCAGGCCTGAGAACCACACCCCAATGGTGCGGCGCGCTGTGAAGGCCATATACAAAAACAGCAAGCCCCCTGGCTTCCCCATAATAAGAATGATACCTTAATCGTAACAATAGTACTAAAACATGATAGCAATAACAGCCTAAGAGTAATAATAATATATAACAGTAGTCATGGTATGAATGTTAATGCCAGTAGTAATAGCCATAATAGCAATTATTGTCCTTTGTCAACCCTGGTTCCGTCCTTCTCTTGTCCTTCTTGAGGTCACGGGCTTTGGGACTGTCATAATACGTGTACCCAGGTCACTGGTCCCACTCAATACCCCACGAGGCTGACCGTGCCGGCTCCGGTGAACTCACCGGCTCAAAGGTTTGCTACTGCCAGGCAAGGGGGCTCCTGTCATCCCTACTGCCAATCTCCAAGGCACCGCCCAAAAGAAATGTCAAGTTCTTTCTAACTGCATTTACTTTCGTTGCACAGAAGCAGCAATTGCCCCCCTGGTCAAGCAGAAGTAACTGCGTCCCCACAGCCACTTGTTAGCCGTCAGCCCCCCTCGTCCCCCTCCCAGTCTCTTCCAGGTAACCCTGCGCGTCCACCGCCCAAAGCAGGCCAAGTTGTCTCTGACCGCATTCAATTTTGATGCCCAACCGGCCTCCGCAGAGCAAATTGCAGATGTGCTTGGCAGTCGGGCGGCATAGCCCAAAGTATTCGCGGGGAATGTGACTTGAATTTTTCGGGTGATAACATCTACTTCATTCAAGGTCGCATGGCTGGAAATCTTGTCCACCTGCCACGAGCTGCAGATCAGATTATGCCCTGCAACTAGCATCCCATGCTAGTAGAACGATGCAAGCATTTTGGCCGCCATACAGCACATGCGCTCCCTGCTCTCAGCTCAGAGGCCCAGCAACTGGCTGTGGATGTCGTCCTCCACCGACGGCCTAGCAGCCTGCGGACCCTTCAAGGTACTACGGATTCTACGGATGGATGCCAAGCCAGAACAATGAAAGTCGTAACACAGAATGATAAGAAGTAACAGAAGGCTTAAGCACGTGCTGCCTGCAGCGTCGGGCCCGAAGACCTGCTGGGAACATGCTTACAAGCATCGTGAAGTGGCAGATTGGGCGAGGCCTCCCCTTGCCGTGGCTGCCATGACCCTTTCCATTGGGGCCCTGGCGCGTGTGCAGCCAAACGTAGCTAGGCTTGGAGTGCTTTAGGCCCTGTTAACTGTACCCTGCAGACGTCACAAAAGCCTCTGAACCAGCCTTTTGGGCCGGCCAGTCATACTAGCATGAAGAACTGCAACATGCTGGGGATTGGTTGGGGCCCGTCCTGGTGGGAGCCGGGGTGTCCATGACCAGCACCACGGCCCTCGAAGAAAGAACTTATCAGTTGCCTTCGCAGCACTGGATTTCTTGGGCACTGGGCTTTGGCTTTGCCCTTGCTCTGGTCGTAGTACTTCTGCCAGATCTTGCACCTCACGTTGACTTACAGAACAGGCTTCCAGCAGAAGGTTTGTTGCTGAAGCCATGACCACTGGAAGTACTCCCGCCAGCACTGCTGACCTGGGGTAGACATTAAGTGGACCCTCCCACCCTGTAATAGTGAGTATAAAGGATAATGAGGATCTAAGTAAGATCCTATAATATTGCTACTAACATACCACTACTAAAGGTAGACATCTCCAAGCATCAGCAGCAAACCAATTCTGGTACTGGCAACTGCTAGCAACCACCATAGGATCCGGGCGATAGGCCTCGAACTCCTCTGGCGATGTGCCTCCAAGTCTCGCAAGAACAAGTGCTCACCAGGGCAGAACTTTACACTGCCTGGTGGTGGTTCAGGCACTGAAGGCCTCAAGGTTCTCACCATCCAAACCCAATCCCACACATTGTGGCTACATAATATGGCTGCCAGAGTCAAGGATCGCACGTGAAACCTGCCTGAGGCATTGCCTGAACGGGGCGGTTCTCCAGTTGCTGACTTTACCCAGCCCCAGCCTCCCTGTCTGCCTGGGGGTCTGTCCTGTCATTAGAATGCAAACCTGCTTCTCAAGATGCTGGGACGGCTCGGACAAGTCAGGCCGGGCTTGCTGTTCGGAGACGTTTGCGCCGAGGTTTCTGGTCAGAAGAGTTGCGGTGGGACTAAGATCAAGCGGCTCGTGCTCCTACTGCATCATGTGCGGAGTTACCAGGCAGCGCATCCCACCTCAGCATCTGAGCCTTCCTGCAAGCATGAGGCTCGAGCATGAGAAGCTCTTCTGAAATTTGGCAACCCTGCCTGGCAGCCAATGCAGCCTGCTCCGCATCTCTAACTGCAAAGTCCTTCCCACAGGTGTCAGGAATACCAGAAAAACCTTGGTGCTCACACATGCTGGTTGCTGCCTGTTGTTCAGGAGCTCGCAGAGGAAGTGGCATTGCTGCACCTGTCCAGCTTGAGCTCTCAGAGGCCTTTGGTCTCAGAGGATCCTTGCCTGGGGCGACTGGGGCGGTCCGGGGCCGCTTCAAAGGCGGCTCACCTACACGCCCGAACAATGCGCATATGAGAAGGCCATGAATTGTTCAAATCTCGCCTGGGGCCGCCATCATCATCTGGGGGCTTGGAGCCCCCGTGGGAAAGGTCTGCAGTTGGGGCACTGACTGAAGGTGCTGCAGCTGCATTTGCGGCTGCACCACCGGCACTCGGACTGGGGGCTGCAGGATCTGCGGCCGTGGCTGCAAGAAGTAAGAGGAGGGGGCTATAGCTACGGCGCCCACGGCACCATAGCCAGAAGCGGCCACTGGAGAGGCCGCCTCAGCAAAATCGCAGCTTTATAGCCCTAGAGTTGCACGGAAGACTGAGGCAAGGGCCGGTTGTCGGAACACTGCCTTGCAGCATCATGGGTGTCGTCACAAGTCTCAAAGCAATGCAAGATCAACCCAGAACCCCAGGGTCTGGCTGCAGGCTTGGCTTTAGGCAGCGCGGCGGACCTGCAAGTCTGATGCAGCTCTTCAGCCAATGCTTCAGTGTCCAACCTGGCATCGTCCCCAGATGCTAGTTTCCCTAAATAAGGGGACCCCAATATAGACCCCAATATACTATAGCCCCATAAAGGGGACCCCTAATTTTGGGAACGCCCCAGATGCGAGTCCCAGACTTGCTGAGCTGTGCTTTGAGCGCGTCAATCATCTGCTGCCGGGCGTCCAGACCTTTGTCCTGAGCTTGCACTTTTGAATCCCTATATAACCCTAATATAATATGCTATAGTAATTTGCATTCTGTTTCATTATCCCTATATGACCCTAATATACTATAGTAACATGAAAAGTAAGCTTCCTGACTTACTGGGGGGTTAATAGGGAATAAGGGACTATGATCCCTACATACTCCCTCTACAAGGTATTCCCTTATTCCCCTACTAACCCCCAGTTAGATGATCTGCAAGGAAGTTACCAGCTGCGCCATGACATCAGAGAAGGCATCCCCCGCCGCTGGAGCAGATGGACTCGGCTCCTTATCAGTGCCATGCGGTTTGGGGTTTAGGGTTACTGCCCCCCAACCCTAGCACTCTGTAATAGGGGCTTTGTTAGGGGCTACATAGAATTACATTAGGATTATTCTTCTCCAACTGTCACTGAGTAGGGGCACCTAAGCTGTGCTATACATGGTGCTGTGTCCGGCTGTGTCCTGTGCTGGCACTCCTTCTGTTGGTGCTGAGGGGGAGGGGGGGGGGGGCGTTGGGGTTCTACATGGGATTTCCTGAAAATAAAGGTACCTTAATTCTTGAGGGTCCCCATTATATATTTTGGCGTCTATATCCGGGTCCCCCTCATTTTGAAAAAGCTACCATATGGAGACCCTAAACCCTGAAACCCTAAATGAGCCACTGTCTAAACTCCTAGTATCCCCCTTAATAACCCCTATAGTAGTCCCCCTATATAATCCCCTATATAACCCCCCTTTAAAGGAGTTTAGATTATGGCTCAAATGGAGATCTAGGTGAGTGTGTAGGACAAGCCAATCTGAAGCCCACAGGCGCCTCATCGTCCACATCAATGACCGGCAGCGCAGGCCTGACTTCTAAGTACAGCATCCCAACATTATAGTATGTTGTAGTATATTGCACAAAAGTTTTAGTATATTGTAGCATATTGCAGCATGTTATAGTATATTGTAGTATATTGTAGTATATATGCAACCTTGGTCAAACCACTGAAACGGGAAGTCACCCTTTGAATTGCATTGGCGCACGCGGCGGGGGGAACCTCCACTTCATCCGCGTCCTGGGGCAGACTCACAGCAGACTCTACAGAAAGTATGCGAGCAAGGCATGAACTGGTTCGCAACCATCGGGATGATTCCAGTGCCACTATGTTACTCGCCATTGCGAGGATAGTGTCTATGATGACAACGCCTCTGATGACAATGATCAATGGTAGAACTGTCTACCTCGACAGCTGCAACTTATTGAATGGATGGAGCACTATTGCCTTGGTAACCAGCTTCCAACGGCCCGAGCAAAGTCTTACACGACCCTCTCGGAAGATTCCACGCATGTGTGCATGTAGGTCGGTAGGTCGGTAGGTTGGTAGGTGCTGGGTAGGTGGGTAGGTTGGCAGGTAGGTGGTAGGTAGGTAGGGGTGGGTGGGTTGGTAGGTAGGAGGGTAGGAGGTGGGTAGGTGCGTAGGCGGGTAGGCGGGTAGGTGGGTAGGTGGGTAGGTCGGTAGGCGGGTAGGTGGGTAGGTGGGTAGGTAGCATGGTGCTTGAACGTATGAACACGTCAGCGTCTGCATGTACAAAAAAAACAAGCGCGTATTACCTGTGTATCATACGATATCAACCTACAAAAATCAGCACACAAATACACATATTCACGGTCAGCATTTTCTATGCACAAAATACATAACACCCAAGAGAATCCCGTCTTGTACAGCGCCTCAGCCAGGCTGAGCAAAACGGGGCCATCGTCGCTTGGCCTCAAGTCAGCGCGAACAGCATCAGGTCGGGGAGGAAGGGGACTCAACCTTTAGTGCATTTACAACGCAAAACACTGCTTCATGCAGGTGCATTAGGAGGAGGAGGGAGAGGACGGCAGCAGCAAGGTGCAACAACAGCAGCCACCATCACCAGACAGAAAACAAAGGACAACAACAAAGCAAAAACACTCCAATTAAACGAAGCAAAGCCAGTCACTGAGTAACCCATCAAAAGGAAGCACTAATCATTGGCAGAATGGTGGTGGCGATGATCATTGTGGTAGTCGTCGCACGAGGACGCGTGGTAGTGGTAATGGAAACTACTGCATTATAATAGAGTAGTCGTGGTCATCAACGTCGTCCCCACGGGCAGAAGGAGCATAGACATGACATGTAATGTATTCTAGCGTACAGTCGCCACAGGCAGAGGAGTTCATGGGGGCTTCTTCAAACACGGGATCCTTGATGACAAGGAGTTGATGCCTCTATCAGCCCTCTATCAAGTTTATGTAGGGATTGTTTGGGGTAACCTAGACATGGGGAAAGCGTTTCTTGAAGAGTCAGGAGACTGATCCACATATATGGTAGTTTCCCTAAATA